GGTCTGGCCTCCCCGCCCCGGCCGCCAGCACCGCCCCGACCGGGGGATGTGGCGCTCGGCCCTGCCTAGGGGCGGGCTGGGCCGGCCTCCCTTCCTCTGCTGTTCCTCGCTCCGGCCCCGCTCCCATGGCCGCAGGAGGAGGGGGGCCCCGGTCGAGCAGTGGGGCAAGCCCCCCCGATGTTTAACCTGGGCGTAGTTTGTGGGGGGAGCGGGTAACGCTTCTAGCGTTGGTGCACTCCTGGAAGGCAATTCGGATTAAGGAGGACTGTGGTCTTGTGTCTGAATAATTCCTCCCCGTAGACACGCTCAGTGCAGACTGTGCAATTTGCGCCATAAATTCCAACTACCGGATTAAAATGGGAACACGGTGTAATCAGCCTGCAGGAAGAGCATCCACATGGAGTTGTACAGAAATTCTTATTCCAGAGACGCTATTCCTGAATATCTCCACCTGTGAAAAGCCCCAGTGACTCACATCCCTCAGAGTCAGCCCCAAATGGGGTATCAACACATCCTGGATTTGAATGCTTGTATCTGGTACCTGACACCCACCATCCATTGAAGAGATATTTGTAAAAATGGGATCGGAAACTTTTTATATGTTTGCCTGAAGGGACACATACTTAGCTGCCACAAATAAAACACAGTGTTCTGCTAGCCTTTAAAATTAACTGTTGTCCTTTATTTTTCATAGTGGTCCTTAATAACCATGAAAGGTAGATAGCTACCCTGGTACTGATCGAATGTTAGGGACAAACACCCAAAACACAGCTACGTCTACACTGGCAGCTTCTTGTGCAAGAACTCTTTTGCGGAAGAGATCTTGTGCAAAAACTCTTCCACAAGAGAGCGTCTACACTGGCATGTGCTTTTACGGAAGAGATGTGCTTTTCTGCAAGAGCATCCATGCCAGTGTAGACACTCGCTTACACAAGAAAGTTCTGCCATAGGGCTTTCTTGAGCAAGAAATTCATGTTTACTGTCTGCACTGGCCTCTTCTGGAAGAGCTCTTGTGCAAAAGGGCTTCTTCCTGAGCGGGAGTGTCAGAGTTCTGGCGCAAGAAGCCCTGATTTTATACATTAGAACGTCAGTTTACATGCACAAGAACATGTGGCCAGTGTAGACAGGCAGCAAGTTTTTGCGCAAGAGCAGCCGCTTTTGCACGAGATCGCGCCTGTGTAGACACAACCAAAAGGTAAAAGGAAAAACCAAAGTTGTGATTACTTATGGGCATCAAAAAGCTTAGGATACTTATGCAAAAATAGTGGTGTTCCCCTTAATGTCCTGACCAAATTGCAGTGCATGTATTATGTTCTGCCTCTCTGAATACCCTGACATTTTAATTAGATATGATATTAGTCACTTCCTGTCCTAACCAACTGTGCAATGTTGCTTATTCACAACTGTTAACATTCTACATTCCACAACAGGTTGGTAGACAAAGTGATCCCATTATTTAGTTTGTACATTAATATGTAATGTTCTTTGGAATTGTTCAAGAGGAAAGGCACTATAGAAATGTAAAAATATTATTTGCAAAACAAAATTCCCATTGTTTTTATTACTTTCTTCCCTGTTTCCATCTACTGTGTTCTGCTGCTTGTTTTAGTTTTCTACTTCTTCCTCTTTCAGAGTAAGAATCTTATTTGTTTCAAAGTTCACTTGTTGTCCACATAGTTGGGAAATATAGAAAGATAATTGTCCACTGCCCTTTGTCTGTGGAATAGAGCATTATTTATTTAGTTACAACCCAGAGGCCCCGTGTGTGCTAAGCACTATATAGATATAGAGCAATGTTTCTCAACCAGTGGTACAAGTACCCTTAGGGATACTTGAGAGAAGTCTGGGGGGATTGTCAACACAACTGAAATTTTGAGAAAACCAAATTTTTGTTTTAAGTTTTACAGCGCTTTATTATTTTTGTACTTTTTACACCCAATCATGTCATTGCTCGCCCAGCAATGTTGTTTAAACAAATGTGTTGCAATGGTAGAAAACATTTTTGTGTGTCTGAAAACTGTAGGTACTGGAGGTATTTATAATTTTTTTAAAGGAGCACTTTATAAAAAAAGATGAGAGACACTGATATAGAGCATGAGAAATTCCTCTGTCCCAAAGAGCTTACTCTCTACAGAACTAAATTTGCAAAGATTTACACTCATGCTTGCCTTTACTTACTCTGATTACTTAACCGCAAAAGACCAACAAAGGATAGAAAAGGAAACGGAGTCATAGAGGAGTGAAACAAAGCCAGTTGTAATTTCTTTATAGGTTGTGACTGTATACACACAATCCTGGCTCCATTGACATCAGTGGAAATTTTGCCCATGGGGCCAAGATTTTGCCTATCATGTTAAAGGTCAGAATTTAAATCTAAAGTCACGACAGCAAACTCTGCACGTGCTTAACTTTACATGTGGATGTGATGTAATATTCCATATAGTTTATGATTTGAATGTCATAACTCAGTGATGCAAGATGGTTCATGAACATGTCACTGGAAAGATTGTAATGTACTGTTATCAGTTGATCATTTAAATGGTTACACTTTTACATCCCTAGCCTGGAATCAGAATACAGATGGGGACATCATATCTGGAAGAACCTCCAGTTACAGGTAAATAACCACTTCTTCCATGTTAATCCTCAACTGCCTGATTACAACAATCAAAATAAAAAACAGTGAACAGAGTATTAGGTTTGTAAAATTATTTTAGCTTTAGTAAGAGATTATATTAAAGAGAAGCTGATTTAAACCCTAACCCTAATTTAATCTAGATTCCTAATTTAATCTACAAAAATGATATATGCATTCAAATGGGCTAATCATATTGGCTACATGTAGACTGGCATGATTTTCCGCAAATGCTTTTAACGGAAAAACTTTTCCGTTAAAAGCATTTGCGGAAAATCATGCCAGTCTACATGTAGCCAATATGATTAGCCCATTTGAATGCATATATCATTTTTGTAGATTAAATTAGGAATCTAGATTAAATTAGGGTTAGGGTTTAAATCAGCTTCTCTTTAATATAATCTCTTACTAAAGCTAAAATAATTTTACAAACCTAATACTCTGTTCACTGTTTTTTATTTTGATTGTTGTAATCAGGCAGTTGAGGATTAACATGGAAGAAGTGGTTATTTACCTGTAACTGGAGGTTCTTCCAGATATGATGTCCCCATCTGTATTCTGATTCCAGGCTAGGGATGTAAAAGTGTAACCATTTAAATGATCAACTGATAAACCTCAGTTTATTATTTTCTGTTACAGTTACACACTGGCTCCCTGACTTCTGGGGAACCAGCTTCAGTGCAGGCTCTGCAGTATAACTTTCAGAGCAGAGAGTGCAGCAAAGCCTTTCCGGGAGTGGGGCCGGCAGCCACTCCTGGGGAGACTTCACTGTATGCTCTGCAGTATAGAGCTTGAAAAACTGTAACCAACAGGAGTT